GACGCTGCATCCGCTGGCTGAATAAAGACAAAGGTGAGCAGCTCTTCTGCACAATACAGATACACAATAATGGCAGTCTTGGATGCTGATGATGGGTCAGAAAAAAGGATGTTTAAAACTATGGAACTCCAAGGTATTTCCAAAAATACCATACTACAATCTTAAAAATAAAGGTTCTTTATTGGCATCAATGGTTAGTTCACCCAAAAATGAAAACTCTGTCAGTAATTACTCACCCTCATGTTGTTCCAACCCTGTAAGACTTTCGTTCATCTTCAGAATACAAATTAAGATATTTTTGATGAAATCCGACAGCTGGATCACTCCTTTATAGGCTTCTTAAAGGGATACTCCACTTTTTTTGGAAATAGGCTCATTTTACAACTCCCTCAGAGTTAAACAGTTGAGTTTTACCGTTTTCTGAACCATTTAGCCGATTTTCTGCTATTTAGAAGAATATCAGTAACCAGACAGTTTCAGGTCCCATCCTTCCATAAAAGGAAAAAATATATACTATAGAAGCCAATGGGACTAGAAACTGTCTGGTTACTGATATTCTTCGAAATATCAGAAAATCGGCTGAATGCTATCGAAAACGGTAAAACCCAACTGTTTAACTCTGAGGAAGTTGTAAAATAAGCCTATTTCCAAAAAAAAAGTGGAGTATCCCTTTTAGGGATCGAAACTGGCCCGCCCAGAAAAGTTATTAAATATTTAAAGTTATTTAAAAAAAAAAAAAAACAACCTTTTGCTGATAATTTACTCACCCCCATGTCATCCAAGATGTCCATGTCTTTCTTTCTTCAGTCGAAAAAAAATTAAGGTTTTTGATGAAAACATTCCAGGATTTTCTCTATATAATGGACTTCATTGGACACCAAACGGTTCAAGGTCCAAAAGACAGTTTCAGTGCAAACTGTTCAAAGGGCTTTAAACCATTCCAGACGATATAAATAAGGGTCTTATCTAGCGAAAAGATCGCTCATTTAAAAAATAAATAAAAAACTTTATAAGCACAAATGCTCGCCTTGCTCTGTTCTGTGTAACTCTCCTGTTCGAACTCGTTCAACAAAATGAACAAATCTTCTATTGAGTCATTTGGAAGGAAATGACTAAAAAAAAACATTCGTTAATTTTCATGAAGTTTTTTATTTATTTTTGAAATGAACGATCATTTCGCTAGATAAGACCCTTATTCATCGTCTGGTGTCGTTTAAAGCCCTTTGAATATGTACTGAAACTCTCATTTGGACCTTGAACCATTTGGACCCCATTGAAGTCCATTATATGGAGAAAAATCCGGGAATGTTTTCATCAAAAACCTGAGTGATTACTGACAGAATTTTCATTTTTGGGTGAACAAACCCTTTAAAGTGCATCTTTAGACTCTTAAAATGTTCTTCATACTAAGAAGGAAAGGAACTGCTCTCTGAAAGGTTATTTAAGGAACCCAATATGATGATTGTATATCAGCACTGCAGAAACACCCTTTATGTCTCATGCTATGTTTGGTTTGTTAGTAAAGATTCTTACCTGATGCCATACGGATCTGTGTGTTCACAGGGATCTTCAAGATCGAAGACTCTGCTCACGTGGCACGTCTCTGGGGTTTGAGGAAGAACCGTCCGGCTATGAACTATGACAAACTCAGCCGCTCTATTCGGCAGTACTATAAGAAGGGCATCATCCGCAAGCCAGATGTCTCGCAAAGACTCGTCTATCAGTTTGTCCACCCTGTATAAGAGAGAGAGCGAACTCAGAACTATATGAACTGACAAACCATCCTACACTTTTCTTGCTTTGTTTTGGAGATTATTCCTGGGTTTTGCACAACAGCGAAACCAAGAAAAATGTAAGAACGTTTTCCAAGTATAAAATATAACTGTGCTTGGAAAGGTCCGATATAAACTTGCACTCTTTTAAAAACACTTGTGTGTCTGTTTAACACTCTTAAACCATTAAAGGGAGAAACTACAGGCGAACTCAGAGATAATTCAAATGTTGTAAAGATTTTCTGAAATGTTTTGTTTAAATATAGAAATGATGCATTATCTAATAAAAAAATGCACTAATTTGCATACATTTCCAGAACAGAAATCTGTACATTGGACAAAGCCAGGTTCAAAAATCTTGTTTGACTTTGTTGACATATTAGATTGAAAGGTTTTTACAGATGGGGTTTTGGGTCTTATCTGTCAACAGCCAGAAAACGCAAAGTTCACCGTGTTTTTAGGAATAAAATGTTATATCAGGTCAATGATAATTGGCAAACCCCTCTGTAAAAATCTTTAGGACATACAGTAGTAGAAGCAATACTAATGTAATGTATGTAAGCAAAGTTTTATATGGAAGCTTTTTTCCGCCATTGAATAAAAAAAAAAGGTCATTGCAAATTAAAAAAAACAAAACAAAACAAAAAAACATACATATATACATGATCTCAATTCTGACTTCCCTGTTCAGTTTAGGGTTCAAGTCTCACTAATAACTTATTAGCATGCATATTAGGCTATTGGCCTTCTTATTACTATAATGCACATATTAATGTCCTTCTGCATGACCTTATTCTCCATCCCTTAATACACCCAATACCTAAACTTCCTTAACAATTACTTTACTAACTGTTAATAAGCTGTGATTATGGGTTTATTGAGGCAAAAGTTAATAATTAGTTAATAGTGAGAATTGGACCCTAAACTAAAGCATGACCCTGACTTCTTTTCTCAGAATAAACTCTAAAAAATAAATGTTCTTTATTGCCATTAATGGTTCCATAAAGAACCTTTGACATCCATGGAACCATTCCATTGCACAAAAGATTCTTCATATCAGAAAAGGTTTCTTTAGGTTTTTCAAATGTTCTTCAAAACATGTAAATATGGTTCTTTCCATAACTGGTCAATGAAAGGTTCTTTGAGGAACCCAGAATTGTTCTTCTATGGCACAGATGTGAAAATCCCTTTATTTTTTATGAGTGAAACCATAGCAATTCTGACTTTTTTTCCCTCAGAACTGAGTGATAGCCAGTTTAAATCGTGCAATTCTGACTTTATAACACGCAATTGTCAGATTACATATTAAGATATAATATATTGCATGTCTTTCTTTCTTCAGTTGAAAAGAAATTAAGGTTTTTGATGAAAAAATTCCAGGATTTTTCTCCATATAATGCACTTCAATGGGGTCCAAACGGTTCAAGGTCCAAAAGACACTTTCAGTGCAAACTGTTCGAAGGGCTTTAAACGATTCCAGATGATGAATAAGGGTCTTATCAAGCGAAACAATCACTCATTTAAGAAATAAATGACAAAGTTTAAGTTTTATAAGCTCAAATGCTCACCTTGCTCTGTTCTGTGATGCGCGTTCGTGACTCTCCTGTTCAAACTCGTTCATCAAGATGAACAAATCTTTTCCTGAGTTAATTTATTCATGCAAGCAAGCTTATAAAACTTGAGATTTGTCATTTATTTTTTAAATGAGCGCTCGTTTCGCTTGATAAGACCCTTATTCGTCGTCTGGAATCATTTAAAGCCCTTTGAACAGTTTGCAGTTTGTACTGAAAGTGTCTTTTGGTACCCAATAAAGTGCATTATATGGACAAAAATCCTGGAATGTTTTAATCAAAAACCTTATTTCTTTTCGACCGAAGAAAGAAAGACATAAACATCTTGGATGACATGGGGGTCAGTAAATTATCAGCAAAAGTTTTTTTTAAGTGAACTACTCCTTTAAGCTTTCATAGATTTCTGACTTAGAAAAACAATTTTTTCCATATTGTATTGTAATGAAAATCTAAACATGTTATGGAAGCAACGTACCCCAAAATTTCAAAATTGACCAGTGCATATAACGTTACAAGAATGCTTTCGCCAGTAATGTCTTGCCTCAAACGTGGTTTTCGGCTTTGCACTGTTACTTCATGAATAAATGTTGATGTTAAACCGAAGCACTAAGGTTAAAATAAAAGAATATAGTATATTCTTTAAAGTATGTTACAGGTTCCTCGTCAGGTCAATCATCTCCTCAGCAAGCGTGTGAATGATCGTGTGAATGTGCCAGCGTGTCTCTGAGCAAACCTTCATTTCTCTGCAGTGGAAAGGCCTCGAGTTTGCGTTAATCTCTGCCTGCCACCCAACAAACATCCTTTTTTCTGGTTTCTGATTAATTACACAGCAAACCTTTCAAGTCTGTCCATGTGAACTTTCTCCACTTTCTTCAATAATCGGCCAGCTTTGCACACGCCTCCACGATCACGTCACGTCTTATACTGATGCAAATGAGGGCTTACCGACGACAGCCCGTCTGTTCTCATACCGCATCTCTCTCTGTGTGTGTGAAAATCAATGAATAAAAAATGTATGTTCTTAGAGTTATTATTACTTGACAGCACTTATATGTGTATTCTGAAACAATTATTTACAAGTTAAATAACAATATTGTGAAATGGTTTTTTTTTTTTTCAGTTTTCTTTTTAAAATTGATATTTCGCATGGTATTTTTTTATTTTTATAAAAGGGTATGGGTGAATCTTACAAAAACATGTCCACATCTCAACCCAAAAGAAATAATTAAAATAATTTTGCTAAAAAAAAAAATAAAAAAAATAAAAAAATGAAAGAAAAAGACTACTATTTGACAGCTTTCATGACAAATTGACAATTAATATTCCACCCACATTCTCATTACCAAATTCCATCCAGATATTTTACTTTTCTATTGAGATGTATTAAACAAAAAATATTTAGTAATAATGTTTTTATTAGAATACTTTTATTCCCTTATTTAATTAGTCTATTCATACTTATGTTTATTAAAAGTATTATAATTTATGCTAAAAAATTGAAATGATTTGTGTTAATACAAATATTACAGCCTTTATCTATGGATTTTAGGGTGAACTATGACTGATTTACTGTATATTACAGGGCACTATAAAAAGTATTATAGTAAAGGTCTTGTGCAATGCTGACCTCTAGTGGTGACCCAAAACTTTGGAATCATTTGCATTTGTCTCAGATTTTTATTGTGAACTTGAATGGTACAGTTACTACACTGACATGAAGAGTAGAACACATCGGTCCAGTCTAAACATACAGTATACACACACACACACACCTCACCTTCTCCATCCAGCTCTTAAAGACGCAATCCATAGTGAGTGAGCTCTCACACTAAAAACAAAGCTAGTGTTGAAAACATGACAAATGAAATTATTATTATTGTTGCGCTACAGTAAGGAGTTTGCCTACTGAATGAGTTATTGTTAAAAGATATTCCCATTTACATAAAGAGACAAAAAGGCAGAAGAACTAGGCCTACTTAAAAGCATTTGAACATACTTTTCAATAGCATGTGCCCAGAGATCAACGTGAACCACACAGTTCAATGGTCATGAAATCATAACTAATAAAGTCAAAAATTCTGAAAAAAAAAAAAAAAATTAAAATAAATAAATAAAAAATTAATATTTAAAATCACAATTTACTCTAAAAATTAAAAAAAAAAAATGTTTACAAAAATGCACTAGATCAACTAAACTTTAAATTTCTGATTCATTCTGGATTTATTCCACATAAAGACAACTCCCATCAGCAATCCTTTAGAATCAGGATATTTAAAAAAGTTTCACTTCTCCAGTCTTTAAAGTGAAAGCTTACAATTTGTTCACAAGCTCTTTACATGTTCTTAAAATGAACAAATGGACAAAAATCCTGATGCATCTCGCATTAAAGCCCACATATATTCAAACTTTGTTAACACATATTTCTAGTGCACAATTTATCCAGAAAAATGTTTTTAAATGCTCCACCTCTACATCAACTCTCCTGGATGAACGATGTCACCATCCCTTTAAATTTTAAACCCCTCCCCTCCAACCACATGAACCCATTCTAATAAGTAACGCCCACTTTTCACATCAAATTAGCATAAAATCAAGTCCCGCCCTAAATATGTTCTCATTGAATATCCAGTTTAACACATAAACATGTCAGATTACGTTAGTGAAATTCATGTTCACTAAGTACATTCCACTTCAAAATAAAAGTCTAGTATACACATTGCATAGCTGATTCTTGCTATGCTAGGCTTCATGGATGTCAGTATGTTAATATTGTTACAGGAGACCATACGCAAACACATGTCAGCAACACACTCATAGACGCACAGAATCATTCTCTGCTCTCGCTAGGATTTGATATGTGTTTTGAATGCTGTAGGTTTTTTCGCTGCGGTATTAAGAAAAAGCTTTTCAGCAAGTCGATCAGGCAAGGAAATGGTTTCTCCGGAGTCTCGCGTTCGAGCAGTGTGGGGTAAAGTCTTTAAGGCCTTCTTCACCACACAAGGCAACTAAATGGGCTCGACGTAGTTAGCCGGGTACAAGCCTAGCTGACCGCCGTCCAGCCGGCCTTTGCACCAGCCCTGCTCGTCCTCATCCTCTAGTTTGATCAGCTCGTCTCCTGGGGAAACATGTCGATGTACAGTTACGAGCTGATAACATGCAAACATATGCACTATTAAGGATGCAAATGTTCTAGTAGCTATCTGTTTCTTTTCACATCATTCATTTTAAACTCAATAGTTAATGTCCATTTGGCAAGCAAACAGTGAAATAGCTATTATAAAAACAGCAGAACTCGCTATTAGAATATCAGAAATAAACATTGCTAAAACATTTTCTATTGTTAGAACGTGTAAACAACATTTTATTCACAGTAAGAAAACCGTTTCAGATTCTCAAAACCAAAATGGAAAGCAGGCCTCGACATTAACGCTTGTCCGCTTTTCCTAGAAAGTGATTTTTTATTTTTTATTTATTTATTTTTTTTTTTTTTTGGAAGGACGAGCGAAAGAGAATTTTCCTTGCTAAATAGCCCGATGAAAACAAAACGTAAAAAATAACCACAGGAACTTCAGACACCAAAACTTTCAGACTAGAATTATTCTGATTTTATTTACGTTCAATGTAAACAGTGATTAATAATAATAAGGTCATCGATGCACACAAGGCTTAATGTCGAGCCCTGGAATGTTTGGAAAACGTTTATAAAACATAATTGAAGGCTACAGCATATCCAGAGCCATAACCACCATATGATATACACTTCTGTTCAAAACCTTTTTTCTGAACAAGGAAATCAACACTTTTATTCAGTGAGCATGCCTTAAACTGATCAAAAGTGTCCGTAAAAACATTTATAATGTTCCAAAAGGTTTCTACTTCAAATAAATGCTGTTCTTTTGAACTTTCCATTCATCAAATAATCCTGAAAATAACACATCATACTGTAGTTTCCACTAAAATATAAAGCAGCTCAACTGTTTAACTGATAATAATAATAATAATGGTAACACTTTACAATAAGGTTCATTAGTTAACAACATTAGTTAACATTAACTAAGAATGAACAATACTTCTATAGCATTTGTTAATCTTTAAATGTTAATTTCAACATTTACTAATACTTTATTAAAATTTTGTTAACATTAGTTAATGCACTGTGAACTAACGTGAACAAACAATGAACAGCTGGATTTGTATTAACTAACGTTAACAAAGATTAACAAAAACAGTAACAAATGTATTGCTCATGGTTAGTTCATGTTAGTTAATACATTAACTAATGTTTAATAAATGAACTTTATTGTAAAGTGTTACCATAATAATCATTTAGAATGATTTCTAAAGGATCATGTGACATTCAAAATCTTCAAATCTGTATTTTTGATCAGCAGCCTTGAGAAAGAAGAGACTTCTATCAAAAACATGACTCTCACCAGCTTTAAATGTGAGCTCATCTTGTTCTTGGCCGTCATAGTCATACAGCGCTCTCACTCGCACTCCTTTCCTCTCCTCGTCGAATGGATTTCCGTTTGTTTCACTGGCTGGTTGGGCGGCAGGCGGCTGCTCGTCATCAGACCACTCGGCAGAAGAACACCGCTGGTTCCTCTCGTAACTGCTCACGCTGAACACCACCACCAGACGGAAGAAGCGCAGGTTAGGTTAGCGTTAGCAACAATGGAGAACATTAACAAACAGCACAGTGCAGGCAAGGGAAGAGGAGCAGAGGAGAGATCTAAGTTGCAGCAGATGTACTTTTACTTACAAAAACAAAGGCAATCCAGAAGGAAACACTCAACGTAACAGCTTCACTAATGCAAAGACAATACAGGACAAAGAGAAGAACCAAACTGAGGGCTTAAATACTTGGCTAAATGAGGAACCAAACAAGACTCGGGTGAACATAATCAACTAACCGTTGAGTAACCTTAGAAAACAACTAGGAACGGGAACTAAACACAGGAAAATAACCGAAAAAATAACCGAGACTTTTTCCGAGTCATTTGGTTCATTCAACGAATGAAACGAACGAACTGACTCAGAAAAAAAATTTGTTCATTTTGATGAACGATTTCGAACAGGAGAGTCACACACCTGCGACTTAAACTTTGTCGATCGTTTCGTTTGATAAGACGCTTATTCATCGTCTGGAAGCGTTTAAAGCCCTTTGAACAGTTTGCAGTTTGGTTTGGTTTGGTTCCCATTAAAGTCCATTATATGGAGAAAAATGCAGGAATGTTTTCATAAAAAACCTTAATTTCTTTTCGACGGAAGAAAAAAAAAGACGGGGGTGAGTAAATTATCAGCAAAAGTTTTTTTTTAAAAGTGAACTACTCCTTTAATAACAATCTGAGAGTTATTCTTACATTTACTTTCTTAAAAAACTCATGATTTTACAGCAAAAACATCACAATCTGAGGTGTTGTTTTTATGACTGCACTAAAACTTACATTTTTTACTTGCTATAAATGTATAAACTATCAATCAGATGATGTAGTGAGCATGTAGTTGATTGTGTGCAACAGGTTTCTTCAAAGTTGATGATTTAGAGGTGTTAGAAATGTGTGAATCAAATATGATACAGAAGGCTCTATAGGGTTAAATAACACAAAAACCTGTGTACCTGCCCCGGTCTCCAGTCTGCGGTGTGCCCGGATCTACACCATGCGTGACCTGAGTCAACGTGATTCCATCATGGTTCCTCTTCACCTTCTCTTTCTTATTAATAGAGTGGCTCAGTTCTGGGTTGAACTCCTGATTTAGAGACAAGAGGAATTATATGAGAAATACTTACACAAGATACAGACACATTCTCACTGATCCCACATATGGACTTTACCTCAAACTGTGGCCAGTTCATGTGCATGCCTGGCCCGTGGAGGTTGTTGAACCACTTCAGGTCTTCTTGTGGGCTGGCTGAGGTGATGCTACGCTCCAGGTCCCGGTAGACTGTGGCATAGCTGTAGAATACGAATTATAGAGTTTTTTTAAGAGGCCGATGCATTTTTCTTTCATATGTGCTAATGGTTTTCTATGGAAGCTTGTTTCCGCCATTGAATAAAAAATATAATAAAGAATTGTGACTTTTTATCTTACAATTCTGACTTTTTTTCTCACAATTCTGACTTTTTTTCTCACAATTGCGAGTTTATATCTCACAATTCTGACTTTATTTCTCAGAATTGCGTGATATAAAGTCGCAATTGCGAGTTATAAAGTCAGAATTGTGTGTTATAAAGTCAGAATTGCGAGATATAAAGTCAGAATTGCGAGATATAAAGTCAGAATTGTGTGATATAAAGTCACAATTCTGAGAAAAAAAGACAGACGTGTGACTTTTTTTCTCACAATTGCGAGTTTACATCTCGCAATTCTGTCTTTATAACACATAATTGCGAGTTTATATGTCGAAATTCTTTTCTCAGAATTGTGAGATATAAACTCGCAATTGCGACTTATTAGGCCAATTCTTTTTCCCCCATCAGAATAGTTTAAATCTCACAATTCTGACTTTATATCATGCAATTCTGACTTTATAACTCGCAATTGCGACTTTATATCACGCAATTCTGACTTTATAACTCGCTTTGCGACTTTATATCACGCAATTCTGACTTTATGTCTCGCAATTCTGACTTTATAACTCGCAATTGCAACTTTATATCACGCAATTCTGACTTTTTATCTCGCAATTCTGACTTTATAACTCGCAATTGCGACTTTATATCACGCAATTCTGACTTTTTATCTCGCAATTCTGACTTTATAACTCGCAATTGCGACTTTATATCACGCAATTCTGACTTTTTATCTCGCAATTCTGACTTTATAACTCGCAATTGCGACTTTATATCACGCAATTCTGACTTTATATCTCCCAATTCTGACTTTATATCTCGCAATTCTGACTTTATAACTCGCAATTGCGACTTTATATCACGTAATTCGGACTTTTTATCTCGCAATTGTGAGAAAAAAAGTCAGAATTGTGAGATAAAAAGTCGCAATTATTTATTTTATTTTTTTATTCAGTGGCGGAAACAAGCTTCCATAGATTTCCTATTCAATTTAATGCTAAATAAAATATTAATTTCTTTAAAAACATATATATTACTGACATCAAACTTTTGAATAATAGTGCACATCTGCTAAAAGTTTAGTTTGTCAACGGGACACTAGCATATAGATGACGTAAACGTTAATAAAAACAAGTAGACTTCAGACCACCAGGCTTAGGAGACCCGATCCGTGTCTGATTTCAAGCTGACCTTTGGTTCTCAGTGAGGTTAAGATGGCGTTTGATATCCAGAAGCACCTCGCGGAGGAAGTTCAGCCTCTTCTCCTCGAACTGCTGGCTTGACTCGAACACGACCTCCATGTTCTCCATGTACTGCGGCGTGCACTTGCTGAGCTCATCAAGGGTCTTCTCGTATTTCTCTTTGGCCTGAAATACAAAACAAACGACATCTTAAATCTTCTGACTTGAATATGAGATGTCCCACTTATGCAAATATGAAGAGGTGAGCCAATCATAACAAAGGGTATTTGCATAAAGTTCTAAAATGAAAGCCTATTAAATTCTAACCCTGTTCAAGTGTCAGAGAGTGTTAAACTAAATAATGACTTTGCTACACAAAACCTTGGCATTATAAGTAGACTGTAAAAAACAACAGTAACAAAAATTACATATTTTAAATAACAAATAAAACTATTTTTAGGACCAGTAAAATATTTATTGTGATGCTCACATTTTCATCCTGGCTTTTTTTTTCCTATTCACCCTGGCTTTTAACACCCTGTAATCTGTCTTCCTGTTTTTTCTGTTTTTCTTTTTATTATTATTATTACTATTATTATTATTACTTTTTATTTATTTAGTGCCTTCTTGTCTCATTTGGTTTTAAGTTTGTATTACAGTTTTATATCTGTGTTTCTTTTATTCCTTGTAAAGCACTTTGGTCAACCTCGGTTGTGTTTTAAATGTGCTCTATAAATAAATGATTGATTGATTGATTGATTGATTTCCCTCCAAATTCTCATTATCATAATACACACACACACACACACAAAAAATAATGATAATAAATTGTATATGTCACAGTCTTCGTCTGCACCATCCTGTCTTGTCTTCAGCACTACACTTCCCAGGATCCTCTCGTCACCCTATTCCCGTGTTCACTCCCTCATCAGCCACCTGTTCCTCGTCATCGTCATCTGTTTCACCTGTCTTCACCTCATTATGTTTGATTCTTCTGTGTATTTAGTTCCTTCTGTTTTAGTCAGTCTTTGTCGGTCGATGTTGATGTTACCCTTCCGTGTCGTGAGTGTTTCCTGCCTGTACCCGTGCCTGTTGGCGATTCTGAGTTTAATTAAAGTGTTTGCATTGGAGCATTCGCCTCTTGTTCTCCTTCTTCTGCCTACACTCCACCGGCACCGTGACAGATCGACCGACCCCCAAAAAGGGAAAAAATATGGACCCTTTCGTAGGGGTCCAATTGCTCTGTTTAGAGCAAGCGGACCGGTCTCTGGAGGATCATCTGGCGGATTTCTTCCACCTCGCTTCCGCCACAACCTTCCCGGACGACTGCCTCTGCAGCTTCCTGTACGCCGGCCTCAACACCGCCACCAGAGAGCAGTTGTCCGGGAGTGGTCCCCAGGGGAGCTTTTCTGCATATGTTGAGTGGGTGCTGGTGTCCTGTGGATCACCTTTCACCATCGATGACGGCACCAGCCCCACTCCAACGCTCGAGCTCTCCTCTTCGCTGGTTCCGTCCAGCCCCGTCCAGCCCGCTCCAGAGACCGTCCAGTCCGCCCCAGAGACCGTCCAGCCCGCCCCAGAGACCGTCCAGCCCGCTCCAGAGACCGTCCAGCCAGCGCCAGAGACCGTCCAGCCAGCGCCAGAGACCGTCCAGCCAGCGCCAGAGACCGTCCAGCCAGCGCCAGAGACCGTCCAGCCAGCGCCAGAGACCGTCCAGCCAGCGCCAGAGACCGTCCAGCCAGCGCCAGAGACCGTCCAGCCAGCGCCAGAGACCGTCCAGCCAGCGCCAGAGACCGTCCAGCCAGCGCCAGAGACCGTCCAGCCTGCGCCAGAGACCGTCCAGCCTGCGCCAGAGACCGTCCAGCCAGCCCCAGAGACCGTCCAGCCAGAGCCCGAGACCAGGATCCCACCCAGCCTCCCTCTCCCACCTCCTCCCGTCACGCAGCCGTCAGCCCTTCCGTCTGCCAGCTCCCCTGACCCAGCTGGGTCGTTGGATCCCCGGCCTTCACCTCACACCTCCTCCATCTGGACACTTCCTCGGCCCCCGGTCCCATTGGCTCCCCCGTGGCTCCTACCTCCCTCAGCTCCTCCATGGTCCCACAGTCCACCAGCTCGGCCAGGCTCCCTCGTCCCTCCGAACTCCCTGCACTCCCTCGTCATCCTCCCTTCACCTTTGGACTTCCTTCCCTTGGCTCCGCCCCGTCATGTCACCCCCCCGGTTCAGTTGGACTCCTCACTCCCTCCAGTCACCCGTCAGCCCTCACGCACTCTGACCTCACCGTGTCCCTCTGTGCCCCTGTCGTCACTTCCGTCACCTGAGCCTGCGGTGTCACCATGGTCCCTCGGTCCCTCCTCAGCACCATATGTCATCGGTCCCTCTGCTTCACCCTGGTCTCCTCTCCCATCTGCTCCGCCCCTGTCAGTCGGCCCCCTGGTGTTGTCAGCCCCGATTCCATCGGCTCCACCAGGGGTCCTCCCTCCAGCTGCTCCGCCCTGGTCTCGCCCTCATCATGCTCCGCCCTGGTCTCGCCCTCATCACGCTCCGCCCTGGTCTCGCCCTCAGCCTGCTCCGCCCTGGCCACGCCCTCAGCCTGCTCCGCCCTGGCCACGCCCTCAGCCTGCTCCACCCTGGCCACGCCCTCAGCCTGCTCCACCCTGGCGACGCCCTCAGCCTGCTCCGCCCTGGCCACGCCCCGCCCAGCCCCCAGTTCGTCCCCCCTCCTTCCTCTGTTATGCGGCGTGAGGTCACGCCTCCCGGGAGGGGGGAGTTCTGTCACAGTCTTCGTCTGCACCATCCTGTCTTGTCTTCAGCACTACACTTCCCAGGATCCTCTCGTCACCCTATTCCCGTGTTCACTCCCTCATCAGCCACCTGTTCCTCGTCATCGTCATCTGTTTCACCTGTCTTCACCTCATTATGTTTGATTCTTCTGTGTATTTAGTTCCTTCTGTTTTAGTCAGTCTTTGTCGGTCGATGTTGATGTTACCCTTCCGTGTCGTGAGTGTTTCCTGCCTGTACCCGTGCCTGTTGGCGATTCTGAGTTTAATTAAAGTGTTTGCATTGGAGCATTCGCCTCTTGTTCTCCTTCTTCTGCCTACACTCCACCGGCACCGTGACAGTATATTACTATGCTGTATTAAAATAACATTATTATTATAATTTAAGAATCATCATAGTAATGAGAATAAGAAAAATACCATACCATACCATACTATTTTATTTATATAGCACATTTTAAAAAACAAAAGTTTACAAAGTGCTGAACAAGAAAAAAAAAAAACACATAGAAAACACATAGAAAACACATCAAACAACAAGACTACACAACTCTCATACTGGGTTAAAAGCCAGGGCATACAAATGGGTCTTAAGAGGGGATTTAAAACATTCAAGGGTTGGGGACGATCTGACCTGTAAAGGTAGCTCATTCCACAGTAAAATAAGCTCAAATTAGCTCAAAAGTTAAATGTCCAGACACATTTATGTAATTGTTCATTACTGATCAAAGTAATGACAAAATGCAAACATCTAAATGACAGGTTTGATTGCTTTATGCAAAATATCTATATATTTTTCTTTTAGGGGTGAAATGTGAGTTAATGATATTAATTTAATAATATCATTATTTGGGATGGTTTTATAGCTAATTACAGCTGTCACTCAAATGTCCAGCTTGTCCATTGTTCTATTGTGGCAGAGCTGGTTCCACTGGGACTCTGGGTTAAGTGCTTATAATGGATGCTAAGGCTAATGAATTGGCTGTACGGTGCGCTAGGGGGCCATTTATTGAACACCCCCATTAAATGGTCCAAAGGTAGAGTAGTAAAATGAAAGTAAGCTCTGGGGAGTCGGACCTGCCGGTGTAATGAATAGAGGATGAAATTGCTTCTGTTTTCTGTCTGTTGGATCTATTGTGGTGAGTTTTGAATATCAACAAGAATACCAAAAGCGACCAGACCACAGATATATTGCATTCTAGATCAACATTTTTTGAATACTGTTAAAATACAAAAACACTGAGAATAATATATGCCCCACACAATTTAAAGGACTGTTATAGTTGTTCCATCACTTTTGGTTTGTTTATGAAATATGCATGTGGTACATAATACTCAGGCTGACCTTCTGAACGTCGTTTTTGCACTTGTCCACCTTCTCTTGGAGTTTCTTTTGCTGATCTGATGTGACTGACGCCTCTCCTTTGCAATTGGCCTCCCTTGTAGATGCAATTTTTTCTTCCTTGCAGGCCATATGGTATGTTTTCTTTGCTGTTTCCAACTGCAAATAAAAGATAAGATGAAGATGGAAAGCATTGTGAGTGAATTATTCAATGATTTGTTTGTAGTTTCAAATGAAGATATTTCTTCAGCCAAGTTATAACATGCACTAAGTCATTTCTTGTTTATGTCAATATTAGAAATATAATAGTAGACTACTGCTTGCTGCATACTATTGTTTTTTGTTGTTGTATATTTTTGAATATTTTTTGAATATTTTTGAAACAGAACACATTATGCTTGCACATTATACATTTCTGTCACATGACCTCATTGCATTGCATGTTTAATTCACCAAATATAATCTCAGAAAATAAATCTAATATTTTTTGTTTGTCATTCCGTTTCAATTGTTTCAAGTCAAGCACATTGAATTCTGGGATTTAGTATTCCACACATTTCTCTGTTGTATACTGCACATTCAAGAAATATGCATACTGTGCAAAGCACACACACCATTTACTGCATAAATAGTTTATTAATTCAAACAGACCAGGTTTGACTGCCTCTAAATCACCAGCATTTATGGCATTTCACTTCAGGGTGATTGATGTGCAACATAATAAGCTGGTATTCACTAGTCTAGCAATCAATTTTTGGAAGTCGTTTGCATTTATTAATTGACTTTTGGCTAAGCCACGCCCTCAAACGCCATGAGCCAATCACAATGCACAGCTAACCCAATACACTCGGACATTCTCTGCTTCCACGTCCATTGAAATGCATTGCAGTTAGTCAGTTTTCATTTGTATTTTCTTGTCATTTTAAGTTTAAAATGGTCAAACAGTGTGCATGGGGTCCATGCAACTCCGACACTAGGGTCCCGAGAGGCTGGGCGACGGTGTGTATTTTTTACCCTTTCCCAAACCACATCTCAAGTAAGATGGTGTCTGCTCTGGATTAAGTTAACCAACTAAACGTGGATAAATTAAACAAGGATGTCTACATCTGTTCTAAGTTAAGTCAACAGCGTATTTGAACGTTATCTTTAAAATCGCTAATGTAACGTTAGGCTAACATTAGAAAACATTGAAGTTAGCTTCTAGCTGCGTTGTGCATCATGTCACTTATTCACTTCATTAACGTATCTGTAAATAACAAATGTTAACAAATTGTTGTGCAGAATGATTGATGTAAATACTGTAGCACCAAACGATGATAGCAACGATATGCGGTTTATCACGTTTACACAGTGACCTGTACATTTTTGCTTGGAGCCGAAGCTTTTCATCGACCTTCTCAACAACCAAATAATTAATAATATAACCCTCCAATGCATAGTTAAGGCCCTTTAGGTGACTTTGAGATGATATTTAATCTTTCTGTCTCCAAAAATCACCAATAGAGCATCACAGTCCCGCCCACAGCCGGTGCCGGAAGTTAAAATTCAATACAATTTCTCCATTGACATTTGGGATATAAGCCATAAAAACGTAACCATACATGGTAGACTTAAAACCAGCTACGGCTGAACTAAGTGTTTGTATATGCTCATATAAACGGCAAAAGATCATGGGGCACTAACCTTGTTTTAAGATAAATCCCTTTTATTCGCAATGTACTGGATAAGCACTTCATTACCCACAATCCTGAACAATCCCACAATCCCACAGTGATGCATCTGATTGGTGGAAGTCGTGTCACGTGTCTGAAACCCCGCGAAGGTACGTGAAGACTGAAGATCGCGTAATGACGTAGGGCTAAGTTCATTGGTCGCACCTCAGAGACGACCCCGCACCATTGGATATACAGTAGCCGCAACACAGCCAATGAGCGAGCCAGACCCTCAATGTTTTAGCATGAACATAAGCTTCAGTAAATCGAGGAAAATGAGTTTTCCTGCACATTCACTATATAAATTCACTGGAGGAAAAAGTTCACGCGGCCGTCGTCAGCTTTGGAAGTCACTCAAAAGGCTCGTTCAGACGACTTCAGTGAGGCGCGGTGGTTTATGGGAGGAGTAGTTCCCTTTGCTCGGAAATGAAAACATGTACACAGGCTTGTACCTTTGACTTTTTTTAGATTTTCTCTTCGTTTTTTCACTCGAAATGATATGTTGTATGCTTATGAGTTCAGCCGTAGCTGGTTATCCTCAGAAATGATCTAATACTCTTTAGATATGGATTTTACAAAATGTCAATGGGAGAAATGAATGGGAAATTTACTTCCGGCACCAGCGCTCTCTCAGGCTGTGGGCAGGACTGTGATGCTCTATTGCCTCCTGTGAAATGTCTCCTACTGTGACCGCGGCCATAGCGCCTGTCCCCGAATGTTGACTGGTGTGAGACAATTGGAAATGTGTCACACAAAAAAAAACAAAAAAACAAAAACACTCACCTCTTTGAGTTTTTTGGCCCAAGGTTTCTGGGCTTTTCTGAACCCCTCATCCGCTTCTTTGGTTTCTTTAAATCCGCCCATCATTTGTTTGTGGTAGGCATCTTTCTGCCAGTTCTTCACCTTCTCCAAGTCCTCGTTCAGCAGGTTATTTTTCACCTCCTGGTGCAACTCGCTCACCTTTTCTGCTTCTGTCATCACAGCTATCCAGGCTCTCTCCAGAGTGCCGTACTGCGGCCCTGCGAACAGCGCATTAAAACCGATTGAGTTGAAAGAGATGCTTATTTAGACACAACATTTGCTTTCAAGGTTGCCACTTTAAATCTACTCAAGGATTTCTGAAGTGAGCAAACATGGTTCTCCATGGCCACGTCATAAATCATTCAGCACCTCTCTCCACGAGCTGCCTCCACCTCTTAGACCAGTCGGTGAGCTGCTGGGCATAGGCCTTCTCGATCTTGGCACGCTCCTGTATGCAATTCATCATGTCATTGCAGAGCCGATGGCCATCCTCGATTCGCTTGACTGTACGCTTGTAGTTCCCCACCTGAGAAACACAGAACCCTTTCAAATAGCTAAAGTCATGGACAGGACACTACTAAAGCATTAGGGCTAAAATTTCTGTATTCAGTAGAAAACAGTGACCACTCAAGTGTATTTATCCTAAATCGAATTAATTAAACCAATCAATTTTACATTTGGAACAAAATTAATGCGATCCTCCTACAGTCCGTGTATATGTATGATCAATAAATCAATAATGACACACTTTTACTTCTAATACTATGTTAGCACCATGCTAATCAATATAATGTTTGGTAGTACACACTTCCACAGCATTAAAAGTCGATAGGATAACACGTGACAGTCGCTAACAGCTTGTTTGGCAGCTAATCATTGCTGTGGTTTCCTGCATGAATGAGACATTTAACCAACATGTATGAGTAGGACTAATAATATTCCAGAATTAGTAAGTTTTTGAGCCTAACCTCCCAGAAACTCTCTGATGTCTCGTCGGACATGGCGGACTCATCGTAGGCACCCGACATGCTGTGAGATTTGGCAGAGCAGGATTGAAGCTAACGAATGAAATTCACCATGTACTGCAGAAAAAAAGACAAACGTTATGAGAACATAATAAAGAACATTTTCATTAACAATAAAAGGAAAACTCCAACTGTATGGTATAAAAAAACTGAAGAACGTTTTGCTAACATTATTTCTGAATGTTGTAAAAAAAAAAAAAAGGTATTTAAAAAAAGTTATTGTGCTAACATTTTGGGAACATTATTAAAGAAAAAACAGACAACTTTAAACGAATATTATATTAATGTTTCAGGAAACGTTTGCTGATAACTTTGAGAGAACCTTGCCCAGAACGTTAGCATACGTTCTGAGAATGTTCCTTGCAAGTTGGGAAAGAACAACAACGAAATTTTACCAACAAAACCTACCTAATAAGACCTCTTACAGGACAATAATATGGTGTAAAATTTATTTAAAGCATTCAAAATGTCAAGTAGGACCATGCATTTAGTAGTGTAAGTAGCCTTAAAAGCATGGAAACAATAGAAATTTAAGTCTTGTAGTCTCCTGTTTTGTGCTAGTCATGAAGTTTGTCCTCTGAGTATTACAATCTAATTGACAATCTTGCAGTGAGGTCTATAATGACCTGGTGTCAACCCGAGTAGCCTTTTCAGAATTAAACTTTTCAGTCATTGACAAATAGAAAACATATAGGGCCCAAAACAGAGCCCTGGGGGACTCTTTTAGCAATCGTGTGGAAACTAGATCTGTTGTTCTGGACATGCAGACTCTGAGATGGATCTGCAAGGTTATTTTAAACCAACCTAGTTCACTTCACAAATCCAATTTTGCTGTGAGTGGCGGTTCATAATAAAGAACAGCATTTCAACTGAATCAAAACAGAGACGCCATCTGACAAAGCCAGTTGTTGCAGTTTCCTATACAACAAAGGGAATGTTTGTAATTGTCATGACTTAAGTTATGTTGTTTTGTGCTCATCTAAACTCAGACGATACCTTTTTGCCAGAGCAAAACATTCAGTAACTTATTAATGTGACAAATGAGCAACATAGAGATCAATGTGATCTTGTAGGCTAAGAATGTAACTGTTTGCACAATTCTGACATGGCATCCAATCTTTAAAACACGGAAAGACACTGCTTAAGTTTAGTCCCAGACTAAAATGCATGTTTTAGCGGTTTTAGCTGAAAGCAACTTGCACTGATATATCTTAAAATATGTCTGTGCTATTGTTTTGTCTCAAGAAGCGCACAAGTACTGTTTTTTTTCTCTAAGGCACGTTTATAAAAGCTACCCCAAGTCCTGTCTGTGAAACCAGCTCTGAATTTATATTCTCACTTATATTAAAAGAAATGTCACTAAAAAGACCAAACTTTGAAAGGCCAGACTTACACAAATGATTCAGTATGATTAAATTACACTGCCACTTCAAATCTATGATCCATCTGATGTATTACGCTCAAAAACAAACAGCCCTGACTGTATCATGATAATCAGTGATCTCATCACGGTGATGAACATCAATCAGAGTGAAAACACTGAAGGAAATAACGGTATATATAAAGATAATTGTATAATTGTTGAGATAAATCCATTGTCACAACATCACACAAACAAGTCCTGCATGCACAATCACATCTGATGACTGAATCTCTTTATAACCTTGGAATGAAATTTATGAATGTCATACTACGGATTGCTGCGCTAACAAAAACGACATTGACAAATGACTCATGTGACTTCTGAGTGTTTGCAATGATAATAAAATTATGGGCGAACCATGATGACATCATGCCATTATTCAGACTTGACAAGACGGGCTCCACTTATTTAAAGGACACCGAAAGGGGGGATGAATAACATTAGGGTCAGTTGAAAACAATAAATGTGAACACAGTTCAGAGGAACAACAATGAAGGCTGGCACAAGAAGTGCACCAAAATTTACAACAAATTAAATCTTTGTAAGGGTTATATTATGTTCTGTTAGTTCATTGAGTTTAGGTTTTGTACTGTTCCTGTTCTCTGCCATTTGTATCTTGACCTAGTTTCCTAGTGTGTGCAGTAAGTTCACCTGTTGTTCACTTAGTGTCCTCGTTTCCTCGAGTCACTGTTATTGTGCTTGTGTAATTTTGCCTATTCCGGTAATCTCCTGAGTATTTCCGAGTTGGATTAAAAATCTAAAGACTGTTTTCAATTGAATCCTCATCTTTGTGCAATCATTAAAACCCGATGTGATAATCTTATAAGAACCCTATAAGATTTCAACATTAAATCTTAAACCTGTAAAGCATACTGTATCATATTTTATATGCCATTTTTGAAGGTCTGTATACGATAAACATACTCAAAACTCCTGTTGCACAAAATCTACTACATGCCTTCTGTTGTATGTGTAACGGTCACCAGGTGGAGTGCCCTTGAGAGTCACCAGAAGGCACTCCACACCAGATGTTCATGTTTCCCTCACAACTACGTTTCCCAGAACTCACTGCCCGGACTCATCATCACTGATCACATCCACCTGTACCTCATTCACTGATTGCATTCACCTGTCTCATCATCCTGTTAGTCTGGATATATATACCTTGTTCATTCAGTCACTCACCGCGAAGTCTTGTTTAAGTGTTACACTGCATTTCTGAGCGTTTTCCGTGTTTGTTTTCTGGTTTTTGACGTTGGATTGTTCTTGGATTTTGATTACTGCTGCCTGCCCTGACCTCTGCCTGTTTCCCGGATTCCCACTGTGTATTCTCCATTGTCCTGTCTGCTAATTCTCGACCCTGCCTGTACGACTAATCTTAAATAAAGCTGCATTTGGATCTTCATCTCCAAGTCTCGGAGCAGTTCGTAACAGAAGACTTCGCCACACCAAGATCCAGCAGCCATGCCAACAAGAAGCCCAGACGTCCAGATCTTGCGTCTCCGTCAGGAGAATCGGTCCGTCGAGGACTTTGTTTCTGAGTTCATTGAACTGGCCCATTTCGCCTCAATGAGCACAGAGTGTTTAATGATCTTTTTCCGAGGAGGACTCTCTGAACCCCTCAGTTCACTCATGCCCTTACACAATCGTCACGGGACATTAGAGGACTATATTAACCAGGCCCTTTTGCTAAGCGGTTCCTTGTTTACTGTGGGCGTTGTAGAGAAGGAGATCCATGAACCCGTGGTATCTACTCAACCAGAGCTTCACGTTATGCCAGAGCTTCATGCCGAGCCTGCGCTCACCTTCCAGCCAGAGTCTCGTCCCGCCGAGACAGCCCAGCCAGAGTCTCGTCCCGCCGAGACAGCCCAGCCAGAGTCTCGTCCCGCCGAGACAGCCCAGCCAGAGTCTCGTCCCGCCGAGACAGCCCAGCCAGAGTCTCGTCCCGCCGAGACAGCCCAGCCAGAGTTCCATGTCAGCCCTGCCGAGTCTGAGCCTGTTCACGTCACTTCTGCCGAGCCAGAGACGCTCCACGTCACTTCTGCCGAGCCAGAGACGCTCCACGTCACTTCTGCCGAGCCAGAGACGCTCCACGTCACTTCTGCCGAGCCAGAGACGCTCCACGTCACTTCTGCCGAGCCAGAGACGCTCCACGTCACTTCTGCCGAGCCAGAGACGCTCCACGTCACGTCTGCCGAGTCAGAGACGCTTCACGTCACTTCTGCCGAGCCAGTGTCTCCGGACAAGATGGCCGCCTCCGAGCCAGTGTCTCCGGACAAGATGGCCGCCTCCGAGCCAGTGTCTCCGGACAAGATGGCCGCCTCCGAGCCAGTGTCTCCGGACAAGATGGCCGCCTCCGAGCCAGTGTCTCCGGACAAGATGGCCGCCTCCGAGCCAGTGTCTCCGGACAAGATGGCCGCCTCCGAGCCAGTGTCTCCGGACAAGATGGCCGCCTCCGAGCCAGTGTCTTCGGACAAGATGGCCGCCTCCGAGCCAGTGTCTCCGGACAAGATGGCCGCCTCCGAGCCAGTGTCTCCGGACAAGATGGCCGCCTCCGAGCCAGTGTCTCCGGACAAGATGGCCGCCTCCGAGCCAGTGTCTCCGGACAAGATGGCCGCCTCCGAGCCAGTGTCTCCGGACAAGATGGCCGCCTCCGAGCCAGTGTCTCCGGACAAGATGGCCGCCTCCGAGCCAGTGTCTCCGGACAAGATGGCCGCCTCCGAGCCAGTGTCTTCGGACAAGATGGCCGCCTCCGAGCCAGTGTCTCCGGACAAGATGGCCGCCTCCGAGCCAGTGTCTCCGGACAAGATGGCCGCCTCCGAGCCAGTGTCTCCGGACAAGATGGCCGCCTCCGAGCCAGTGTCTCCGGACAAGATGGCCGCCTCCAAGCCAGTGTCTCCGGACAAGATGGCCGACCCAGTGTCTCCGGACAAGATGGCCGACCCAGTGTCTCCGGACAAGATGGCCGACCCAGTGTCTCCGGACAAGATGGCCGACCCAGTGTCTCCGGACAAGATGGCCGACCCAGTGTCTCCGGACAAGATGGCCGACCCAGTGTCTCCGGACAAGATGGCCGACCCAGTGTCTGCTCCCGAGCCAGTGTTTGTTTCTATGTTTGTTTCTGTGTTTGTGACCATCTCTGTTCTAGTGTCTGTTCCTGAGCTGGTGTCTGGTCCTGAGCCGGTGTCTGGTCCTGAGAGGTCTTCTCCGCCGTGGCCGCCCAAAGGGTCTTCTCCACCGTGGCCGCCCGAAGGGTCTTCTCCGCCGTGGCCGCCCGAGGGGTCTTCGCCGCCGTGGCCGCCCGAGGGGTCTTCGCCGCCGTGGCCGCCCGAGGGGTCTTCGCCGCCGTGGCCGCCCGAGGGGTCTCCACCGCTTTGGCCGCCCTCAAAGCCTGCTCCGCCCTGGCCGCCCGCACAGCCTGCTCCACCCTGGTCTTCCGTCCTAGTCTCCAGGCCCTATTCTGCTCCACAGGCCTGGCCCTCCATCCCTCCCCCGGATCCGCCTCCGCTCCACCTCCCTCCTGAACTGTTTTTGGAGCGTCTGGAAGCCGCTCTTTGGGGGGGGGGGCTATGTAACGGTCACCAGGTGGAGTGCCCTTGAGAGTCACCAGAAGGCACTCCACACCAGATGTTCATGTTTCCCTCACAACTACGTTTCCCAGAACTCACTGCCCGGACTCATCATCACTGATCACATCCACCTGTACCTCATTCACTGATTGCATTCACCTGTCTCATCATCCTGTTAGTCTGGATATATATACCTTGTTCATTCAGTCACTCACCGCGAAGTCTTGTTTAAGTGTTACACTGCATTTCTGAGCGTTTTCCGTGTTTGTTTTCTGGTTTTTGACGTTGGATTGTTCTTGGATTTTGATTACTGCTGCCTGCCCTGACCTCTGCCTGTTTCCCGGATTCCCACTGTGTATTCTCCATTGTCCTGTCTGCTAATTCTCGACCCTGCCTGTACGACTAATCTTAAATAAAGCTGCATTTGGATCTTCATCTCCAAGTCTCGGAGCAGTTCGTAACAGAATGCAATGCTTGAGTTGATGGTTCATACTTTTTAGGCCTTTTAGTATAATTTATTTGTAATATTTCAAGATGAGTATTTACTGGACTGAAACAACTTAGGGTTACTTGATTATCCACACTTCTTTTTTTATTTAATGTTAAAATGTATTAAATATGATACAACCAGCTTTTGAGGAATGTTTATTTATTTATTTATGCATTATTTGTTTTGCCCGCCATGAATTGATCATAAAACTAAGCATTTAAATATCAACTTAATGTTGTTGGGAGATATAGAGTGACTGCAGATATTTATATTAATTTATGTAAGTAGCCTGCTTAGTGTATAAGATCTGATTTACAATACAAGATTTTGGACCATATAAATATCAGCAACTGCACCACATTTTATATTTGATCAGTTTGGGCCTCTGAATAAAACTAAAATGTTTTTCCTCCTCAAGTATGAGCTTCATATTCTCATTATATCAGGGTTATTGCAAGGTTCAACAAATTACAGTACAAGACAAGTTGCTCAAAAGCAATTGGGCAAAATGGTCTCAATGTGTGCGACATGTTAATCCATTTAAATTGACGGGGCGTCAGCGGGTGGCATTTTAATCATTGCACATGACTCTCTCTGTCACATTAGACAAAAGAACTGTGAAAGTGGTTAGGCTTCCTAACTATTGATTGACTTCGGTCATAGCCACACTCAAAACATTGCATCCCTAATGCATAAAACATGCCCCTGCATGCATGCTATTTTAGATCATACATTTTAACCACTTTCTATATTTAGTTTATTTTTATAACTGATAGTCCTTGACCTTAAACAGTCTTTATCTCATTTCAAATTATATGATACAGTATTGAATAACACAACATTAGTCAAATACAAGCTACACACCAAAAGAACAAAGGTCAGTGCATGCACTAAAATACATACAAAAACACGAAAAGACAGAGACTCCAACCGTTTGCACATGAGCATGTGTGTGTTAAAGTAAATCTGATAAACTGAACTAATCATGAACTGATTATACACCTTGCAAGTATGCCAAATGCATGAATGAAAATACGAGTCAGACAGTCTCTCTCTAAACCACACCATCAAAAACAAAACCCCACACTACCCCCGAACAAAGCTGTCCTCCAGCATCCACACACTCTCCTCCATACTGACGACGAACGCTAAAGAGCCTAGCCATGACAAAAGAGGAAAGCAACAAAAGGCTCACCGATCCCCGCGTTCAGATCCAGACACGTGGGACTGTCCACCCCCCAAAACCTGCGTCAACACTCAACACTTCTCCTCAATTTCGCTTCTTTCTTACGGAGTTAACTATAGGCTTTAAATAAACAGCAGATGCAGCCAAAGCTAACTGTTCAACGGTGTTAAAAATGCTTCTTGGTGAACGAAGTGGGTGTTCACATGTGCAGCAGTGTGTGTGTGTGTGTGTCTGTGAGAGAGAGAGAGGAGAGAGAGAGAGACTAATCACATTTGACTAGAATTATTCTGACAGTGTGTGTGTGGGGTGGTGTTTGGTGGGGGGGGGGGGGGGTATGTCATGGCCTTGGGATGATGGGGGTGAATACAGGTTTAAGGCTTCTGTTTATTTTAGACAACAACAGACATTTGGTACTATTTTCAATTTTCTATATTTATATATATATATATATATATATTAGAGCCAGACCGATATATCGGCCGATATTAGGCATTTTCCAAAATATCAGTATCGGCAGTTATAATGGCCGATAAATGATTATTTAAAAAATAAAAATAAAAACGGATGAAACATGCTTCAATCATCCTCCTTGGCCTGTTATATTGAAAATGTATGTTTTACAATTTGCAGTATGATGTTATCTATTGCTAAATTATGGCTCATCATAGACTAGCTAGCTAACCACAAAGCTAGCTAATGCCACTATCGTCACGTTAACCGCTAACGTTAACATTAATGAGCTTGGAAACAACAATGAACTTTTTCTGCCTAAATAAAGTAATGATTACTGTATTTATAACTAGTATTTCTCTAGTTACAGTCCCTGCATTGTAAAATGTAAGTTATATGTAAGTTAAGAGTGAACATTTAGACATAGAGAAAAAGTATCAAATGTATCTTGTGCAGAAAAGTTAGTTTTTCTTTTACACGTGTGTGAAATCCAACAATATTTAATAAAAAAAAAATATCGGCCGATATATCGGAATATCGGATTTTAAAACCCAAAAATATTTATATCGGTATCGGCCTTCAAAATCCTTTATCGGTCGGGCTCTAATATATATATATATATATATATATATATATATATATATACAGTGTATATCCCAGCTCTACAGCAGCTATTCAGCAACAAAGCCATCTCACATGACATTTATCGTCTATAAATGTATGCTTTATGTCTCTGGTGTTTTTTAATTTCCATGCCTGAAGCCCAAAGCTCTGAACCGATCAACAAAGAATGATGAACAGCTGGAATGCCTAAAAATGTCCTTAATTTTTCCATGACGGGAGAGAGTATTCAATACAGCAATGTTAATGATTGATGAAAGTCTTTCTGTGTCATAAAAATGACAGAGACATAATAAATGTCCAGTAGCATGATGACGATTGTTTACCAGCCCAAATCAAATAAGTCTGTTTTACTGGTATACGTTTCTCATTCGATCAGGCCTGTAATAGAGTTGAGCTTGTTCTTTTAGTTTAATATTTAGCTTTTTTTCAATGCGGAAAATTAAATACAAATATACACAACCATTTAATTTTTTAATGCATTTGAAAGAATTATCTTATATGCTCACCAATCCTGCATTTATTTAATCAAAAATACAATAAAAGTGAAATATTGTGAATTACAAGTTAATTTGTAATTTGAATTACAAATTAAAGCTTGATGTTTTATGTATTATATATATATATATATATTTTTTTTTTTTTTAAATATTTTTAGGGTGAGTAAATGATGACTTCATTCTAGGATCATCCCTTTAAGATAACTTATCTGAAGCTGCTCGACTGATGGTCAAAGTCTGAGGTATAGTACAGACTACAGTTATTTACAGCCCTCAATCACATCACATCAATCACAACTAAAGACAAAAGAAGTAAAAAAAAACAACTAATTATATAAAAGCTCATTCAAAAGACAAAGTTAGAGAGCCTCATAAAGATATGCGTTTACTGTGATTTTACAATGCTTAAGGACTGTTTTTAGGCACAGCGTGAAGTTGGACCCCTTAAAGGCACAATATGTATTTTTTTTTTTTTGCTTTATAAATAGCAAAAATAACTGTATCTATGTTATATATTTCTATTAGATGTGTACTTGGAGACAATTAAATGTAATATTTATATTAGTCTGTATTATATTAGTGATCGACCGATATATCGTCCGGTCGCTATATCGGGCCGATATTTGTGGTTTTTACGTGAGCAGCAGAAGTCACACACACACTCAAACCATAGAGAAATATAGCCATTTTTTATGGTGAAACTATGGTACTTTTGGTGCTGGTAACAACAAATACTTGTAAATCTTTTTGAAATTGTATCAGACTAAATATAAACATTTTATGTTTGTTGTTTTATATCTATTTCTATCACTTTTACAAGTAAAAATGAAGTAAAACATTAAAGAAGCTGTTTCCGTCTGATCTGATGTAATCTAATGCAGTAATAAAATGAAATAATACAAAAATTACAACAAAATAATTCAAATAAATAATAATTAAAATTTGTTTTTAATTCAAAAAAGTGAATTTATATGTTAACACGTTCGATTTTTGGTTAGCTGACAAAACATTTATACGGTTTATTAAAGCTAGTGTTCACATCCATCCTAAAGAACTGTTATTAAAGTACTTGAGTGAATCCTGAACCACACTGTGATCATAACCAGTAACTCCAGTAACTCCAGCATCTGCAGTGTGTGTCTCCTCCGCAGTGCCTTCACTGCAGCACTCATGAGACCTGCAGATCAATAAAGACAAGGACACACTACACCGCTTCAGTACGACACACACACACACACAGAGAGAGAGAGAGAGAGAGAGAGAGAGAGAGAGAGCGCCTGCATTCACAGAATTACACAGAATTCTAATGCCCAGTACTCATTCATTTAATCACATTCAGTGTGTTCGTTTACTAAAGACTTAATCTAATTTGATAGTACACTTTACAATAATTAGTTATGTTAACATTATTTAACTAATTAACAAGCATTTATTAATCTTATTCTCTTATTAAATTAGGGTCCAATTCTCACTATTAACTCAATATTAATTATGACTTTTGCCTCAGTGAACTAATTACTGTTTAATAATAGTAAGATCAAGGTATGTAGAATAAGGTCAAGCAGAATAAGGGATTAATATGTGCTTTATAAGTCCTAATAAACAGCCAATGTCCTACTAATATGCATGATAACACTACACTAAAGTGTTACCTTCAACATTTACTACATAACTCAAATTAAAAATTGTATCGGTTAACTAAGAATGAACAGTTATGTTTCATTAATGTTAACAAAGATAAGTAATTAAATACTGCAACAAATGAAAACGACCCAGCATTTTTTAGAGTGTAACAATAATAATACATAAAATACCAATAAATATCAAAAACTGCCATCATAAATTATGCCATCATCAAAAACTATAGTTTTAACCAGGGTCCAAAATATGAGTAATATTTACTACATAACTCAAATTAAAAATTGTATCGGTTAACTAACAATGAACAGTTATGTTTCATTAATGTTAACAAAGATAAGTAATTAAATACTGCAACAAATGAATTCCTCATTGTTAGTTCATTTTAGTTAACGCATGTTGCCTAATGGGACCTTATTGTAAAGTGTTACTAATTTGATTATGCTTTCAGCTTTTTGATCACATTTCCCACACAAACACAACCAGAAAACATGTTTTTGCAAGAGGCCCTAATAATGACTGAATATCAGTATTTTTGTGAACTCAAGCAGAGATTCGTGGCTTTCGCAGAAGTCCTGTAATCTACACAACTCTCTCCAAACCCACTAAACGACACAGTATTGCATTATGACCCACATTTGCCATTTCTGCAAATGCAAGAGTAGCAGGATTATGACCAGCTAAGCCCAGGGTTGATGAATAATTTACAGCTTTCAGTTAACGGATCACAGCGGCAACCAATTCAAGAGTCCCTGCATACACACACAAGCCAACGCTTGTACAACTTGAGCCGTGTGGGCTGGTTTTTCTCTGGGTCCTCGTCATACTCATACATGTGTGACTTCAGATCTGATGTCACATCTCAGGATGTGGATTCCCTAGGACTAGACCACTTCAGGTTCAGGTTCATGGACATTTATTCGGATAAATTGCTTTGCATTTGGGCAACTGATTTGATATTTCATCAGGAAACACAGAGTGACATGCTATGTAATCCATGCAAAACTAGTTTAAACAATACGTCTTGAATAGTTATCATGCATTCTGTCTTAAAGAGATCATATTAACTGAGAAAATATCTGTAGACTTTCATTTGACAAGACTTGTAGGTAAACTGCAAATAAATAAATAGGGGCAAAACGGTGATTAAAATGGTAAGAAACTGCATCCAGAATTGGCGACCAGTAACAGAATAAAAAGATTTTCTGTTATACACACTCATAAGGTTTCACCTAAAATGATATTTGACATTTACCCAACTATGACAAAAACATAACTGAACACCAGACCTCTTTGCACCTCTGATTGCAAGGTGTTCAACTACGATAAATAATAATAATAATACATAAAATACCAAAAATCTGCATAAATTATGCCATCAAAAACTATAGTTTTAACCAGGGTCCAAAATATGAGTAATACAATATTTTAATATGAACGCATTCTGCGTATACACTATAATAAAAAAATACAACTTTTTCAAAAGTGTAAAAAAACAAATACGATTATTAGAGTATGAAGAAAATAATTTTTCTTCAAAATTTCACGTTTAATTATTGGTGAAATTTACATGCAATTTAAATTGCTTTAATTGCAAATATACCGTTTTTTCCGCGTATTTTCCTGCATATGATTAAAGTCGCAGATGAAGGTGATTCTGGCGGTGATTGTCTACTCGTCATTGGGCGAGTGAGCAGGCTCTGTTTGCTGTCTGCATCTATAAATAAAGTATATTCCACTGGCACCCTGCACTGAAACTAAACACCTCTCTCCAAAAACCTCTATACACACAGCCAACAAAAACTGGATGGATGTCCACACACACACACACACACACACACACACACACACACACACACACACACACACACACTAAACACGCTGCCCTACACAAGTCACAATTTCAGTCTATTGGCTCAACATCGGGTTGATTAAAGCGCTCCTGAAATGTGACGATGGCGAAATAGGAGAAGTTAATTTCCTGAACCGAGGGAAAAC